CAGGCCTGCCTGCTGATAAGAGGTGGTACATATGTCTGCCATAACAGCGATGTGCTTGGCCTCGTCAAATTCCTTGGTATTTTATAAGAAATAAAAACCTCTCAATTCCACACCTCTAAACCCATTTTTATCACATCTCAGAATTCACTTTATTGAAAATACAGTACGACCTTGACAAGCCTACCCAGAATACTAAACACATCACAGAGTCTCCGACGGTCCCTGGGTCCCTAAACTGAAGTCCCACAGAGGGACTCCTGGCCTTGGGCATACCACAGTCACAGTGAGTTCATTTGGTGGGAAGGCACTCAGCAAGGACTCTGCAAACATTCAGAGCCATTTTGTCAGCGAGAATGGGTCTTAGGAACCCACTTGTCCCTCAGTTTCTGTGACATCTTCAGTATGATCCCTTCAAATGTTACTTGGTCCTTTTCTGAGTGTGTAAAGGTCTCACCAACTTTGGTGTCACCAACAGTGCTGCCACCACGGAAGTGCTCAAACTCCTGATCTTCCTATTGGTAATCCTCCATATAGGCTCGTATCATGTATTGTGCCCACCCAGATAAAATGTCCTTTCCATTCTACTCAGAAAGTTGTCTCCCCCACACCTCTGCTTATTACCGTCCTGCTTCCATGTGGACTACTGTACTTCCAGGTGACATTCCCAGACTCCCTCGTGCTGCCTGTGCCCTGTGCCCTGTGCCAAGCCATACCCCACCACTCTGTGCCCTGCAAGTCCACAGGTGCCATGCAACTACCAACTCACCCATTTGCATGACCACAGAGCTGAAACTCTGACAGGGACTCATCCATCTTGTTCGCTATTGTGTCCTGACGTCTGGCAAACTGCCTACGCCTAACGGTGCTTTATAAATATTTAAAGAATGAACACATGAGTAATTTGACAGTAAGTAAACTGTAAAATATGTTTATAGCCGCTTTATAATACCGTCCTCAGTTCAGACTAAAACAGTATGAGAATAACATCTCAAGTATTTTTAATATGAGATAATTGCAAAGTCAATCAGAATAGATCCTCTCTTGATTTAAGCCAAGTTTTTTCTACTGGTTTAATAGAGTTGGCTAAATAGAAACTCACATAAGTACTTATGCTAATTATACTAATTAGCAAATGGTTGTATTAAATATATGAGCTATGTAGAACCTAGTTATAATTGGAAGTGTCAACATGCATGTAGTAAGCATGTGATAAGCAAGGAAGCTTCACATAGAAGCAGTTTTTGTTGTAGTTAAACTCCAGTTACTTGTGGGGTCCCATGGTCAACATCCTGATGCAGCAGTAGCTTTGGGGGGATATGAATGGGGAAGAAGGGAATGATGTGTCTTGGAAGATTTTTATTGTCTACTATTTTAAAAAATATTTATTTCATTTTTATTTTATATGTATGAGTGTTTGCCTCCATGCATGTATGTGCATTGTGTTTGCAGTGCCTGCAGAGTCCAGGAGGGGGTGCCAGATCCTCTGAAGCTGAAGTTGTGGATGATCAAGTGGATGCTGGGAACAAAACCTGGGTCCTCTGCAAGAGCAGCAAGTACTTTTAACCACTGATCCATCTCTCCAGCCCTATTCTCCCCTCTTAACAATATATAACTGAGAAGTGTTTGAGCTACCACAAATAGGAGCAGTGTCCTTGCCAAAGTCTAATGGTGGAGCTCACAGATGAAGAAATCCAGGTCTTCTGATGACTTCTTGGCAATCTGTTTTAATGTACAAAGAACTCTATGTGCTCAACATATTCTTAGAGCATTTGTTTTAATAGCCCTAGAGTTTCATATTTCAGCTCTAAGGTTACTTCCATAAGAAAAATTTCCCCAAATTCCTCAGAATCTGTAACGTCCTATTACATATGGGAAGAGGCCTTGAATCTGGCAAACTCCTTCCAATCTTTAGAACTCAAACTGAGGACAGGTGTTATATCTGGTTTTCCTGTGTATTCCCAGGGTCTGGTAAACAGGTTCTCAAAGGCAGCTAACTGCCAGGTAAATGCTCACTCCCCCCTTTCCTTTGTGTGTGCACATAGGCATGTGTGTGTGAGTGTGTGCATGTGTGTCTGCGCGTATGTGCATGTGTGTGCGCGCATGTGTATGTGTGTGTGCGTGTGTGTGTGTGTGTGTGCGCGCGCATGTGTGCATGTGTGTTTGTGATTGGGTCTCACTATGGAGCAACGACTACCCTGGAACTCACTTATGTAGACTAGGTCGGCCTCCATAACTTGAGATTCTCCTGCCTCAGTCTTCTAAGCACTGGGACTACTGGCCAGAAGTCACTCCTCCTTAAGGGAAGCTGTAGAGTCTAGCAACTTCCTACTTCCACCGGATGGCTGTCAGGGTGGGAAGTCTAGCGTGGCTGGTCCTTCTAATAAAGTAACACCCAGTAGTTACACAGTCAGGGTGGGAAATGACCATCCCCAGTGAGGAAGCTAAGTCTGAGACTAACCTGGGTTTTTCTGGAGACTTCAATTTGATTTACCCAACCAGTGTGAAGGTGTCTTCTAACCCAGCAATTATTCTCAGTGGTATAAGAGAATCTGTGATGGCTTGTTTTGTCATTTTGATTTAACCCAGAATCGGCTGGGAAGGGATTCTCGATGAGGGACTGATCAGGTTGGCTCGGTAGCAAACTTTTGGAGGAACCACCTTCATTATCTTAATTAATGTGGGAAGACCCAGCCTGAAAATTTCCTGGGTTTGGATCCCGGACTGTATAAGTGTAGAGAGAGGGTGAGCATCTGCCTGCATTCTCTCTCTGCTCTCGTCTGGGATGTGACTCGCCACTTCAAATTCCTGCCTTGACTTCCCTACATTGATGGACTGGTATGAGCCAAAGAAACCTTTATCTCTAAGTGTTAAAGCATTTCATCACAGTAGCAGAAAGGAAACTACGACAGGACCTGAATCATATATTCACAAAGCCTGTGCAGTGGCACCATTCACAGCAGCAAGAAAGTGCAAGCAACACAAACCAGATGATTAATGGCCAGGCAACATGTGGTATCTACATACGATACTTTATCATACAAATAAATGAAGTGCTGATCTGGGTTCTGACGTGGATGGATGCCCAAATAGTGCTGTATGATGGAAATCACAGACCCTCATGTTTTATGATTCCTCCCTAAGCTGGGGATGCAGTGCAGTTGGCTGAGTAGATGCCTGTATGATTCTGTTGATATAAAATATCATTTGTGTGAAATATCATGGAGGTAGACAATACATTTTGGTTGCCGAGGATTTGGAAGAGCAGGTGTTGTGTGATGTTATTCCTGGGGAGACTGAGGAAACATCTACTTACCTCAGACAAGTCCCTAGCAACAGACCAAACTAAGAATGCCACAAAAGTCTAACTCGGTGAACCAATGAGTTTTATTGGATTACTTATAGAGGCAGACATGACTCAAAGACAGCTGCATGACCAAGGCCCACTGCAGCATGGGTGAGAATTCACAGAACTTGAACCTGGAATGCACTGCACAGTCTGCAGGGAGTCTGGATAGTTGGGGTGTCCTTTCCAGCCATCCCTGCTGGTCTGTGTCTGTTTCAGGCCACTCAGCATATGTGGGGTGAATCTGGTCAGTTTCAGGGACTTCCTGAGTTTAGTGAACTTCCCTGAGGATGGAAGGTTTTACCACTCCTTAAAACATCCTGGATGATAAGGAGCTTCCCTACAAGGTGAAGATTTATCTAGGAGGAAGCAGCTATGCAATAGAAGGGAGTTGGGGTTTGAACAGCTGGTCCATGGTGGGGCCATTTGGGAAGGCTGGGACCTTCAGGAGGAAGTGGGCCACTGGGGTAAGGTGGGGGGTGAGCCTTGAGGCTTTCTAGCTGGACTCCATTTCCTGTTTGCACTCTACTTCCTGAGCGCCGACATAATGTGAACAGCCGTCCTGCCACCCCCGAACTGTACCCCCTTGAACTGTAAGCCAGAATAAGCCCTCCTTTTCCTTAAACTGTGTCTTGTCTAAACAGTGTGGAAAGTGAAGGGCACAGGCGAGCAGAGCATCTGCCGCGGCCCGCGTGGGGTTTGGCTGTGAGGAAAATGTTCTAGAAGTAGGTGATACCCATTTAGCCTTGTTAAGTTGTAGCCCTTAAATGGCAAAATCAGCGTTTTTTCAGATATAAAACACATATCTCAATGCTTTAAACTTCGTGGGATGCAGACTTACTGGCTCATTAGCATATGTCCCAGTTAACTTGTTATTCTTACTGTAACCGCAAAAATGCTGTACTTGTTAGTGAGGATGTCTGCGTTACTGCTCTTCTTAGTGCAGAAAAGCTTGAAGATACCTGCAAGAGGGCCAGTGAGCTGGTTCAGCGGGGAAAGGGGCTTGCAGCCAAGCCTGACAATGCAAGTTCAATTCCTGAAACCCATATAGTGGGAGATAACTCAGTCTTGTAAGTTGTCCTCTGATTTTCACATGCGCTATGCACACTCCCCATGCAAATAAATAAAACGGTAAAAAAAAAAAATCTTCAAGAAGCATTTCATTAACAATGAAGAAAACTCTGAAGCAGAGTTTCCATGAGCCATCTCACCGGTCTCTTTAAAAGCTTCTTTTCCTTGTGTCTGTGAGGGAGCGCACACCACAATGGGCACGGAGTGGTTGAAGGACAGTTCCAAGTCCCCCCCCTTTGAGGCACCCCACTGCTGTAACCCCAGCATTCTGTGGTGAGATGGGAGGGAGAGAGAGGATAGTCACCCAGAATCCTTCAGGCCAGCTAACCTGGGCACAGCAGACCCTGCCTTAAACAAGGTGGCAGAGCACTGGCCTGGCATGGGTGAGCCTCCGGGTTCAATGACAAACTAAACTGTACTGATCCCAGCATGCATCTGGGTGGGAAGCACTGGTCTGTAATAGTCAAACGAGGTCACTCTCGTCTACAAAGTAAACATGGGATTTTTTTTGCTTGAAAAGTTAATGAATTAGAAAAAGATACAGTGAGTTGAAAATATTGAATTTATTTATGAACTACAAGAGAAGGGAATGCACCTGAATTCTCTGAAAAAATCAATATAAAAACATGTGCTCCACATCCTGCCTCCCTCCTCTTCACTCCTGACCCTGTGGCAGCAGAGAGGCTTCTGGTTCCTGATCTGTGGACCTCAGCTTGAAAGAGCATGTGATCAGGCAGAGGCCTGTTAGCAGCCCTGGGGTGGGGGCACCCAGGGTTTCCCCTGACTCCCTTGCTTACTCAAAAGCCCTCAGACAGCTATTTGCACTTTAAAGGCTCCCACAACTCTCACTAAGGCTCACCCCTCTAGGGATAAGGTACTGAAATGCAAAAAAATGAGAGAAATACTCCTCAGTTTCAAAGGAACTACTATCTAAACCTGAAATGATCAAAAGTGACTTCTTCCTCTTAAAAAAAAAAAAAAAAGCACAGCACCCAAATGACTTTGTCAGTTTGAAAGATGCGCTAGTAAACTTGAAAATGAAAAATTAAGTCACTGCCTTTCTGTCTCCACAGCAGTGAGCACCTCTGAAGTGTTGAACCTCCAGGTCTGTGGGCAGTGGAACCATTGTGTTCCAGAAAAATGGCTATGCCACTAGATAGGATCTGAGCTCCCCATGGAAGACTGGGGGTCCTGCAGAGTCTCGCTGGCTGCTTGGCTGCTGCCACTCAGGTTGCCTAGGTGACTGTTGATGACACCAAGTTCCTGGATCACCAGGCTCAGGTCCTCATGGAGTCTGAGCACAGCGCCCCTCACCTCGCCTAGAAGCCCACGGAGAGAGCTCGACTCGGGGGGTTCTCGGGGCAAGCCTTCGCTTGTCTGAAAACTAGCCTGGGACAGGCTAACCGAGGGGAGGCAGGTTCTAGCTGGGGAGGGAAATGCTACCTGATTACTGCTAGGAGTGTGAGCTGGCTTCTCCGTAGTTGAGTCGGAGTTATCTTGGCCACTGGGGTGTTCTTCGTCATCTGAAGATGCTGTACCCCTGGGAGCAAAGGGGTGGCGAACCCTGGCTGCCTCATCTTTGTGTGTGAAGGGGGCAGACGATGTCTGTGGATGGGGCTGAATCCAGAAGGAAGGGCTGGTGAAAACCAGGGGAAAGTGATGGGCTGATTTCTCTGGATGGGCCGAGTCAGGAGACGACACAGACAAAGTAGAAAATGAAGATGTGACCTCAGAGGCAGTGGAGACTGAAATAGAAGGAAGAGAGAGATTTATATAACATGCAAACAAGAATAATGGCTACAATAATTGTGTCATGTAAACACCTATCTGGAAGGTCTCAATATAAACCAGTCTGAATTTTATAAGTTTAAAAATTCACAAACCTGAAAACCCCAAAGCAGGAAACAGACAAATCTACAGATGTGTTATATACCAATAATGCCGTGGAAATGAACCTAAAATAGAACGATCAATATTCACCATGACATCTAAACCCTACCCAGCATAGTTTTACGCTACTGTAGGCCTCGCCCCTGAGGCGAAAGTATTAAATCTGCCTGCTGGGGTTTTATGTAGGCGTTTAAAGTAGGAAGGCCAAGAAAGTCCTAACTTAGTCTTCCACCTTTTCCCCCATACGGATATTATTATAACAGAATAAACTTCAGTGACCCAGTATAATGAATCTTTTCCTCTCTGTGGTCAAATATAATTAAGACTAAGCCCAGCCCAGCTTGGATCCAGAGCGCTGTAGCTCACGGACCCACTTTTCTTACCAAGGATCTATAAGCGGCATAAAAACGTACTTGAAACCCATTTCATAAAATTAAAGACTTGAGAACAATTTCATTTCCTTTCACACAAAAGCATACTAAATGTTGTCTATCTATTCCATTCTAGTTTCCCAAACTGTTATGAGTGTGTTCCTCAAGAGAACAGACGCCTTTCCTGGATGGAAACGGAAGAGGAGGGGGCTGGAGGTTGGAGGGGGAACGGGAGAGAGGGGCTGGGAGGAGAAGATGGGGGGGTGGAGGCTGTGGCTAGGATATAAAAGAAATAGATGAATAAAAATAAAATAAGACAAAAGATAGCAGATGCTGGGGCTGGAGAGATGGCTCATAAGTTAAGAGCATTTGCTGCTCTTGCAGAGAACCTGGGTTCGGTTCCCAGCCCCTACATGGCGGCTCACAACCATCTGTAACTTTGGTTCCAGGGTATCTGACACCCTCCTCTGACCTCTGTGGACACCAGGCATACATGTGGTGCAATACACATACATATATTGAGGCAAAACACCTACACAAATAAAATAAATCTTAAAAAATTAAAATGAAACAGCTGGTGTTTTGTAAAAAACGGCTTTTCGGTCACTGCACACTGCCCCTCCCATTAGGACTGACAGTGCCATCGCATTTAAAATGATGAGGAATCTACAGTACTTTCTTTTACAGAGTCTCATGAAGCCCAGGATGGCCCCAAACTCACTATCAAGCAGAGGATGACCTTGAACTCGTGATCTTCTTGCCTCTGTTTCCCAAGTGCTGGGGTCACAAGTGTGTCACGACACTAGGTTCATGTGCTCAACCAAACCAAGAGCTTCATGCATGCTCGGCGAGCCCTCTGCTCACTGAGTTAGTCCCCAGCCCTAAAGCATCTTATCCGACTGTTCCCCAAACTTCTTTGGACACAGGGCTTTTTTTTCCCTCTCTCTTGGAATACCTACGTGGATTTATTTTTGGATATACGGCATAAATTGGTGAAATCTATCCTCGGGTGTGTGTGATGCGCTCTGAACTTGTTACTTTAAAGATTTACTCGGCCAGGTACACAGCAGGGAAGCTGAAGCCTGCCACTCAGCACTCGGGGACTTTGCTTTGTTGGTAGATTCTACTACATATTCATGTCCCTTCTGAACTAAACTGGAACTCATAAAAATGGCCAGGGCAGGTGGCCACTCACTATTTTTTGCCTCTAAGCTCTTCAGGGCCTATCTACAGTTCTCAGGGAAGAGTCCAGTCACAAAACTTGTTTTTGGATGCCAAGAGTATTCTCAGCTGATGTGGCAACAGGGATGGAAGAAAAGGGGGACTCAGCTGAGCGTGGCCAAGGCCAGCCGAGCTCCCTGGGAGAATCTGGGTCAGGCTAATCCAGTCACTCTTTCCTGGCGCCGGGAGGGTGGTGCCATGCTAGTGGGCACGTGGATGATGAAAGCCACGTGTTCACATGCTCCATGCTGCATCCCAACTGTCATCTGCTGCATCCTTCGCCTCCTGGGCTGGCTCTCTGTTCTTCAGCCTCCATGTCCCCCTTTCTTGTTTTGCTGTCATTTGTGAGTAGTGCAATCATCAGCAGGCCAATGACAAGGAGGCCCAAGAGGCGCTGGAATACGCATGTCTGAAAATGTTCTTTCTACCCTCAGGCTTAGGATTAGTGTGTGTGAGTGCAGCACAGCACACGTGTGGAGGTCAGAGGGCACTTGGCAGAATTGATTCTCTCCTATTTTCACGTGGGTTCAGGGAATTGGCCTCTGGCTGTCAGGTTTGCTCGGCAAGCGTCTACCCGCTGAGCCACCTTACCAGCCCCCTTCCTACTTTCTCCTCCCCTTCTCTCTCTCTCTCTGATCTTGTCTCTTTGCCCTACTTCTTAGAGGTTTCATCAGTCTTAGCTTGCAATCCTTCTGGTGAATTTCTTGTTTCTGCCGGCTGATTTTAATTTTGAAGAGGTTTTGGTTGTTCTCAGAAATTCTCCAAACAGCCTGTTCTTGTTTTACAGACATGTCATATTTTCTTGTCTTTTGGAGAGTTTTTAAAGTGTTTTCTTCTCCCTTCACGGTGTGATGTCCTCCATTGTGTTCCCACACTGTTCCTTACGAGAGGGCCTTCCAGGAGGCTCCGGCTCCGTGTCGCTTGTGGCTAAGAACAGAGGGTAAAAGCTGGCAGAAGCTTCAAAAATGAGAATGAGGTGCCAACTCTGGGGCCCAGTGAAAAGTCGCCTGGGCGGGTTGATTGACTGAAGCAGCAGACGTCAGTGAAGCAGCTCTTCCTTCTGAGGCAGGTTAGCATCTCAGCACAGCCTCCTGTTTGCTGCCGGGAGAGGAAAGGGTTGGTTACCAGCCTTCCTGCAGCCATCAGGGGAAAGGTGCTGGCTGGATCTGTTCACTCACTCCTGACAGCTGCTCTGGTTACAGTTCACACAAGCTGACCCACCTTTTAGAGCTCTCATTTCAGAGACCCACCAAGTACTCCCTCCTGATTTCCAGGACACCCCCCTCCTCCCGGGAGTTATAGGGGTGGGTGGCTATTCAAGATAAACTGATTGCCTCAAGGCGAAGTCCAAGGATAGAACTCAGTTTCAATTTATTCTTTTTTTTAAAAAAAAAACTTTATTTAATTTTATGTATGAGTGTTCTGCATGTACATCTGTGTGCTGGACGAGGGCATCAGATCCCATTACAAATGGTTGTGAGCCACCACGTGGGTGCTGGGAATTGAACTCAGGACCTCTGGAAGAGCAGCCAGTGCTCTTAACCACTGAGCCAACTCTCCAGCCCTTTTTTATTTTTTATATGATGATGGTAGTGGTGCTTTTTGTTTGTATTTTTCTTAGAAAGAGTCTCTATGTATCCCTGGCTGTCCTGGAAATCATTATGTACATCAGATTGGCCTCAAACTCACAGATACCTACCTGCCTCTGTGCCCTGGATGCTGGGATTATAGAACCCATTTTTAAATAACTGCTTCCTGGTTCTCTTTAGCACATGCCTTGGTTTACATGTGGTCTGTCCCTACACGTTCATGTGTTGGAAGTATGCTTCCCAATGTGGTCATGAGAGGTGGTGGATGCTTTAAGGGCTTGGGTCTGGTAGGAGGTCACCAGGTCATTGGGGATACTACCCTTGGACAAGATTGTTGAATTTCTTACAGAACTCAGGTTAGTTCCTGTGAAAGTGACTTATTATAAAATGCAAGCCTGACCCTCACATCCTTCTTTGGCTTCTTATCATGTGACCTTTCTCTCACATGATGCTGTCACTCATCAGAGCTGAGCAGATGCTCTTAGACATTCAAAACTTTGAGCAAAGTAAATCTCCTTTTATTGACAAAATATCTATTCTCCAGTGTTGCGTTACAATAACAGAACACTGACTAATAATCCCTCAATGTGGAATAGGTTTGATAACCTCATTTTAATCAGGATGCAAAGAAATTCAGTGGCTAGAAATCTTTTCCAGATCAGAAAGTTACAAAGAGGACAAATTCAAGTACCTCTGACGTCCCTAAGGGTAATTCTTAACTGCTGGGAGAGGGAAGGTCAGTTTTCTCTAAGAGTGGAGACTGCTAAGTCAACCACACCCCAGTGGAGGGTCACACAACACATCCAAGAATGTTTGGGCAGCACACACTGTCCTTAATGGGGGCAGGGGTAGGAAAGAACACAAAATTAGAAAAGGAAAGGGGGACTTAGGGTGAATATGGGCAAAAAGGGACTCGGAGACTTGGAGCCTGCAGTGTTTAAAAAGAAGGTACTCAGAGGAACCTTAAGGAGCCAAGAGGAAAACAAACTCAGGCATCAGCCATTAGTGTGGAACCATTCCCACACAAGGGCACGGGTAGGTGCACACATACATGAGGACACTAAATCCCCTCTCCTGTACTTAGCTTTGTGTTCTTGGCAGCAATGTTGGGGACTTGTTAGAGTGTGGGTCTTGGTCCTTCCCGAGACCTGGTGAACCAGAGGCAAGGCTGGGTCCAGAAAAACTGAGCTTCCAGGTTATAGGTGTTTCTAAAATAGGAACCAGGAAATCCTCCCCTGGCCACCTTCCTTTGGCTTTGTGCCACCACTGCTGAGTGACAGTGTGGTGTGGGCTCCAGCTCTGATCTGCAGGCTCAGCGCTGTGAAAAGCCACTCAGCGCTAATTGCTACGCGCCAATTTCCTTTTGTTTCCAAACACTGTGCAGCTGCGCTGCACCCTTCAATCTGCTCCTGGGGCATCCTGCACTGCCCCTTCTCTTCCCCTGTGCTGGCTCCCCGCAGAAGCCATGTGGGCATCCTGCTGGCAATGATCCCCTCTGTGCAGGAACTACCGCAGTAAGATAGAGGAAGTGGCTGTGTTTTAAATGCTCGTCCTGTGGTACACACAGGCCAGTTGTCAGCTGCTCAAGGACACCACTGACAAACTCATCCCAAATGCTGATGCGTTATCTTTAACATTTCTACCGCAAACGCAGAAGGCCTGCTAATTAAGATA